GATCAACACCCCTTTTTGATTGGTAATTTCTTTTTTTTTTTTTTCTTTCACAAGCATCGTTGGGATTTGTGGACAATTTTCACGCGAGACCAGATGAATGGATAGCATGCATGCTTCATTAGCGTTCATTTCAAGTGTTTTGTCATCCACATGTCGATTGATAGGACTCGGGAGAAAAATCTAATAGATTCCACTCGTAAACAACTTATTGTCGTGTCGATGAAAACAGAGAAATATTGTTAGCTCAATCGGGAAAAATTGAGATTAGTGTTGATTACAACTGTAGGTCTTAAAGAATAAGAAGAAAAAGAAGAAGGTAAGTGATTAATCGTACGATTTTCATCAAAGAAGGGTAAAAACGTTTATGTTGAAAGAAAGCCAAAAGTAAAAAAATAAAACGTAAAACTTGGTAAAAAGAGAGACAGAAAAATCAATTTCGCGTAATAAACGCATCACGTGCAAGTATGGCTCTGGCACACTTTTTCTCGATGCATAAAAGTAAAGGCGACTAGACGGCGAATTGCAAACATTCGCCTCCTCCTCCTCTTTGCGATCGAGTCACGAGCTGTGTATGTTGTATAGGTGCGACTCTCTGGCTCTTTGATCGCGAGGTCACTGGGCGCGACAAAAGAAAAAGTCAATTGCGGATAATGCCCACTTGACACGGGTATGCAGGACTACAGACTAGGGCTACTTTGCAGATCTTCCAAGTGGTTTTCTTTTACCAAAACGGCGCGTGCTTTGCTACGATAGAAAAGAGCTTGATCAATGCACCGTACGGTTTTTTTCAAATTTAAAAATAAGGAAGTACAGCCTTAACTTCCTGGACATGTATTTTTACCAAAAGTATTTCATCAACGTCTGCTTCGGTATAGAATGGCTCCATTAAAGATAATGAAAAAATCTCGCAGAACGGCTCGGATGCATTATTCATAACTTGGAAATAATGCGACACGCATCTATGTGTGTGATGGCTTATCAATCGATGTGACGTAACGCAGCAAATCAGTGGGTACATAGCAAAGATTACCAAATCGGTCGTTCCGCGCGACGCATCGTGTGGGTAGTTTTACATAATTTTTCAAGCCACACGCAAAAAAGAAAAAAAAAAAAAAAAGATACAGCCGAGAGATCCGGAAAGAAAAAACCCACTCTGTATTCTCATTTTTTTATTGGTCGATGAATTACGAGGATTTGCCATGCAAAGGAGCAACTAGTTTGCAAGAGTAATTTTTTCTTTTTTTCTTTTACGTTCCTTTTAAATAATTCTTATGCGCTACTCGTTTTTGTCTTTGTTCAAAGAGAACATTAATTTGCAAGCTTGTTTGCTCGTTTCATCTGCTCACACGAATCGGTAATCATCGAGCGGGAGAGCGATAATGAGTTTTGAAAATTTTGAGGATACGTCGCCTGACGTCAACAACGTTTTTCAATCGATTTTGCGGAATTCGTGGGGTGACAAGGTGTGGATGAGATTCTTCTCGTGAGAAATTCCGCGTGTACGTCGACGTAACGTGTCAAAATGCGCGTGAAAAACGGGGGGACGAAAAAAAAATCTTAGAACGGAAGAATGCACTCGTGCGCGTTTCTGCGTATCTATGAGGTTGACGCAGTGATAAAAGAATCTCAAGATTTCCTCGAGATTTTACGTGATAATTTTTTTTTTTTTTTTTCGAGCATAAAGGATTTCTGGTTGGGCTAAAAAAAATATCAACTCCGGTGTACTTGGACTCGGGCGTGCATAAATCTTTCATGTAAATGTACTTTTTTTGCATCTAAAGCACGTTTCGTTGAAGCCAATACCTGTTTTTTATTAATTTCGCGTACTGGTCAATTCACGAACCCTCGAAATTTAGCACAAAAATTACTGCCTCTATACCCCGTAAACATGTCCAATTTTGCGTTCTTTAAAATTTTATGACAAAATAGACAATAAAATTTTGAGTGCTTTTGCATCACAGTGACTTTTAACTTTATGGTATAAAAAAAAAAAAAAAAAATGGTCACCGTCAGCACAGTAGTAAATCGTTGTTGCATGACGTGTGACGTTTAAGCTTTTGAAATAGTAATTTTTATCTCGGACATTGTACGAGTTTTTGGAAAAGTTGTAAACATCCGTGGTTCGTTTGCTTCCCTTTTCGGAATACAAATAAAGTGCTCGGGCACGGGTTTCCATCGGCTGTACTCGATAAATCGTCAAACGCGCGGAGATAAAGTGAAAGACCGACTACGACGACAACAATAATTCACGCGAGAAAACCAGGCGTGCCTGGTGTACACGAGTTCTGAATGTAAAATCCGGCGCACAAACGATTTTTCCACTGAATCACAACAAAGCTCTTTACAACGAACCGAACGCGCATCACCTGCACGATTAGCACACCGGATCGACTATACAGACGTGGAATTGAAATTCCCGGGTTTACCATATTCCACGAGTAGGTGGATTTTTTTTTCTCCTTGCCCGTTTTCTACTCTTTTATATCAAGTAGCGATGCGCATCCGCGAATGCAAATGACCAACAGGACCTTGCGCGTTGTCGACGCTGATATCATGGCACAGATAAGTTGTGGCGATTGGCTGTTCTAAGCCAGAAAGTGAAAAATCGAAAAATCGGTATGGCTACACGGTGACAAAAAATTGGTCTTCGACCCTAATGAATCAATAGTTTTTATCAGTGCATTTATGAACAGGACAAAATTAATATACGGGTATACAAGTAACTATATATAGTTGCACGTGCTCGACCTCGCTACTGCACTTTTTGTCCGTTGTTTTACGGTTTTTATCGATTGATTTTTTAAAGCGTTTTTTACGCACCATTTTGGCATGTCACAAGGGTTTTTTTGCTCGCATCTATGAGAAAAAAAAAAAAATTTCTACATATTTTTTTGTCAAAGATAACTAGTGACTTGTGTGTACTCTTCAAACGTGTCCAATTAATACGCACGAGTTCAGATAAAACGTCGAGCGAGTATTTAATAAGCATAATAACTGTATTATCATCGCCGATAAGAGAGTTGTTAGAATTTTCGATGTGTGTGCTTATACACATGCGCGACACCGAAACCAATAACGTGCACCTAAATAATGTACCAATACCATTAGAAGCGACACTTTTACGAGCAGTGTTCTGACACGTCGGATACCGAAAACAAATAACTCATCGTGTATAACATTGCAGTCGTATTAGGAAAAAAAGGTCGGAATCCTTCACTCGGAAAATTATGAGTGTATATAAAGTGATTTCCAGAAAATAACCCATTTTAAAAATTTGAAAGTAATTAAAATCATTTTAACGATTTTGAAACTTATATTAATTTTTTTTTTTTTTTATTTAATGAGAAAAAAGTTTAAATAAAGGACAGCAAAGTAGAGGGATTTTCCTACTTAAAAAAAAAATATTTCTTGAAATATTTAAAAAACTTTTGAATGACCGTGTGTTACATCGGATTTCAAGGCAAGATAAGAATAATTTGTTTTATAGCAATGAAAAAAAAGACCAGTTCCAAAGACGCAAAGGAAAAAAACTTGATTTTAATTATTTCCAGAGCTTTTATACATACTTATCGAATGATTATTTACTTGTGGAGTCGCTCATACTAGTTGGTACATAGGTACGTACCAACACACGTTGCACAGAAAGACTCGGCGATCAGCTGCTCCCAGCTAAAGAGCGACTGTCGGTAGCGAGTTGTGCAATAACTTTGGCTCCTTACGTGCCTAGAAAATCGTATTGTGCCTAAGCAATCGAAGGCAAGTCAACTCGTAGAGTTTCACAAAAAAAAAAAAAAAAAAATGAAAATAAAAAAAATAAACACGAACAAAACTATATTTGACGGTGTAAAGAATTGTGCGTTACGCACTTTTTGTACAATTTGTTGAATTTCTCTTGTAACCCCACAAAGCTTTCGTGGTATCGGTCAGCCACCACATGGTTTTCCGATGACATTTCGAAATGTGCATTCCCTCAACGATAAGTATAGAAAAAATCTTTTGACACAACTTTTTTAAAAAACTAATAGGCTACTTTAAATAATAAATTGAATAGCCCCAGCCCTACTGTCGGCGAGACATCGTGATTTAAAGTATAAATGCAGTATTTTTGTTTGCTTAAGCGAGAAGAAAACATGGTATGGATAAATTTAATTTTAAGGCATTTACATTTAACGTTTCCCATGACCTTCAATTATTTATAATGTAAAATTGCTTTATCAAGGATAGTTTTATTTTGAAAAAAAGTTTTCCACTAGTGGTAACTTTTGAAGTTGGCTGCACTTGAGATGTTGCGGCAAGTTGTAAGAGTACCCGAGCAGGTGATACATAGACAGGTTGAGTGGGTGCAGCGGCAACAACACCACCATCATCTCCAGCTACCTACAACGTTACAAGCACTCGCGACTATATCCCCACTATATGTATACGCTTGTATACGCCAGTGCTCAAGTTTGCGATGCCACGGGCACTCCTTTCGAGAAATTTCCTCTATACTTTGCACCCGAAACGAAACAACGAATATACGTATTCTTCTGATGGTACTTTTTTCTCATGGTAAGTACAACTATATTATAAATTTGTGTACCTAACGATTTAATGTCGATGATGTTTCATAAGACAAACTGGACTGACAAAGAGTTAATTGAACACCCAGTCCCGGTGATAATACGCCGAAAGGAAAAAAAAGTTGGCGTTCGAACGACGATCGAAATGCTATTAGGCAACAGCAGAGCGCGAGAAGGTTGCACCGTTTTCTGACATTTGTATGCGACAGGCGTCAAGGCGTTTTCACGCTTTGGGAGGGTAAAAAAAACAACACAAAAACAATGACGGTAACAGGTTATAGCCAGTGGGGTTTTCTCGAGTGAAAGAGAAAAATCGACCTTCGCACCGTGCCATTTGCGAATTAGATTGATTTTCCTGACTCTGGCTGGAGATCACGTGCTTTGCGCGCGCGATTCGCGTACCGATCACTCGACTACGTAGATATTTATCATTCTTACCGATTTTTCGTGCGCGTCGTAGTGCGACAAAGTTGTGCCCAAAGAGCGCCCAGCTGGAAAAAAAAAATGTCTCAACGAGCGAGTCCACGATGGCACTGCGTATCCGTTGGGTGGTACATGTACACACGAATAAACGTCACTCGCGCTGCCGCTCTTCCGGAGCCGTGCCGGCACGTACGAATCAACAATCGGCAGGTAGAGCCGGTGCGGAAACTCGCGCGCTTCCTCCCGGAGGAAGCCGGGGATTATCTCCCGAGACTATAGGAGAGGAAGACTCTGGCGGGGGTGGTGCCTCGGAGGCTACCCGTGACGAATCGATGCAGTGGCGACGAACGAACCTGCCGGCGGCTCTCCTCTGGCGGGACTGTCGGGAGCGCGCGACGTGCATTGCTTTTAACCAACTCGCCATGTTGCCGTCCACCACCTCCGTCCGTCCGCTCGCCTCCTTCCTTTCCTCTCGGTACGTAGGTACGTCGTTTTCATCCATCTGATGTGTGGACACTTGCTATCTCCGCTTTTTGCCGAACGCACCCCTCGTGTCCCCCCCCCCCCCATCTTGTTTACAACCGAGGAATCGACTTGGGGGACATGAGATGAGATCGGTGGTTTTCGCTGAAATACGGATGCCGATTTTTCTTGGGAAACCAAAAGGATCATTATTTTAGGATAGTTATAAAGCTCGAGGTTCGACGGAAATTTTCACCGTCACTTTTTTTACTGGATGTAGTTTTCTGGGAAAAGTTTTGGGCAAGTACTTGAACAACGAAATCATAAAAACATAATGCGATCTCCAGTGGTTTTTTTTGGTTTTGTTTTTAAGCATCTTTCATAGAAATACAAGAGATTTGTCAGTGACTTCAAGGTGTACGCGAAATGTTTTGGCTACGTATGTATAGAGTTTAAAATTTTTGATGGCAAAATCAGATAATCGTTGCGAATCGAAAAAATGAAAAATCAGCGCCGATTCGTGCGGGGTCTAATCAACCCAAGGTATCTGGACAGTCAAGTGTTAATGGCACCTGTACCTAGTGCGAAGCTGGCGACTTTTACGACCTTCTGTTTATACTACATTCCCGAGCTCGCCTCTGGGGGATACACAAACTTCGATTGCAACATACGCTTACGATCTAGGTACTACTTTATAATTTTTTTTTTTTTTTTTTTCTAAACATCTATTTTGAAATAAAGTTGTAAAGTGCAATGCATCACCAAAGGACGTCTTTAGAAATAATCTTTGATAAAAATCTCCGAAAAAATGTGTACGAAAAAGTTGATGGACCAAATAAACATACGCTTATTCATCGCATCGATGACGAACGGCCCAACGCCAGACGAAAACTCTCTGACGTCTACACCTATGCATATTTCTAAAATTGCTATCATAAGCAGAAAAAAATACAACGCATCTCGTTGTGTAGATAATTAGAAAAAAAAGGTGTTCCAATCGTTGCCATCGAGAATCCAAATGCGCGCACGTCCGTGATAGCAACCGATGTCAGGACAACACCCGAAAGAGTGCGTCACCCGGGAGTGTCATCAATTTTTGCAGCTTCGTTTTTAACGACCCGAAAGACAAAAAATCACAACAGCGCGGAGAACTAAGCTAGGTTTTTGCAATTTTTTTCCCAGAATTCACGGTCAATGCCACAGTTGGGCAGGCAGGTTTGTTTGTGGATTAATTTTTTGCTGGCCGACTACTGCGAACAACTGTACCAATCGCTTCGATATTCGTACAGGTATATGCTTCCAAGTGGCGAAATACCATTGAATCAAATTGTGGTATTGTGTTATGATCATCGCTGTGTGAAATAGCGGGCTTATAATTTATTCGTTTAAAACAGAGACTTGTCCTTGTTTTCTCGGTCCAATGAAACACGAGCGAGCGATAAAGAACCGAACCGATCGATAATCTGTAACTTACGGTGACCTGTAAGGTGCAACAAAAGACTATATCACCGAGTTTGTTAAGTTTTTTCAAAGCTACAAAATTGTTCACGGTACGTAGACGAGTTTTTGTGATGGAAAAAGAAAAGAAGAAAAATTTCGGGACCAAAAAGCATCGAAGGATGAAACGATTATTTTTTTTCTAGACTTGCATTAAGCCGAACGGGGCGATCTAAGAGCGCAAGAAATAGTAGTTTTGTTTTCATCGAAAAGGATACAAAAGTAGTCTCTATCCATCATAATCGTACTGCACTGGCTTGTTATTGTAAACAGGACACTTGGATGCGCCAAATAAATGCCTACACTTGTGTCTGGTCCCCTGGAACTGCTCATCGATGGTACAAACAAAAGTGCAAATATTATTCAAATCCATCGAGTTCAAGTTACTTACAGCAGCTCGAATTGTATCACGTACGAACAACACTTACAGCTGCAAACAATCCTAAAAAAAAACCATGATTGCACGAACGGGCACGGATAATCACGCGAACGTAAAGTTATTGCTTAATATCGTACGGCTAAACAATTCGGGTGTTACATAATTTTCTCGGATAGAACTTTTATAACACACATCCGCTTGAATTTATCTTATTCGAAAAGTGAGAATGCAGATTGCAATGAAAATCAACGTTCGAGAGTAATGTTTGTCAAAAGAGCTCGCGAGCGTTGACATCACTCTCCTTTTCAAGAGGGAAAGACATACGTATCCTTGAATTTTAAAGAGAAAATAATACAGAAACAGCAGCCTGGCTGTTATTAAAAATGGCAGTGGTGCAAAAAACACGCATATATATATACACGATATTTTACAAGCTTATACCCCCCAATAAGAGAGTCGTTGAAAACATCCACTCGGTGCAACAGCACTAATAGCAAACGCCCACGGAAACAAAGGACAATTTGTTATTGGGCAAGACTCGCGTAGCATTCTCTCGTCAAACAAGGGTAAAAAGTACATCTTGCGAAATTTAGAGGCTATTAGTGTAAGTATTAAAATTGAATGCAAATTGTGCCACTGCCCTGGTAAACAATAAAAAACAACAATAGCGGTAAGTAGCACATCTATTGCAGATAATAGATATGGGCATTAGTGTCCTGGTATTTCGATATTCCTAAATTTTCTACAGCAAGAGACTTGATATGTTGCGAGCCATTTCGTGCAATCGAGTATAACAATCATCGCCATTATTTGGGTATTGCAAGTATGTAAAAGAATGTTTGAACAATCAGACACGGTCGGATCGATTTTCGTAGGAAACATAATCATTTGAAATACATCGCATACGAGTGGGGACACTTGTAATGATTTTAGGTATTTTGTCAACTCGTTTGAAACACCTGTATGTATACATAATACGCAATTTGATCGCATATGTCGCGATCGGCGATAATGAATTACTGCCATTTTATTACCACTTTTTTGATTAAGTTTGGGTACGCGTATGTGTCATATACGTACATATAATTTATATACTTGATTCGTGCAAACTGTCTCTTCAATCGCGGCGATCGTTCACCTTATACGATTACATCTTACTTGAAATTAAACGGACAGATGAGATCTACAGACTGATCTGCACGCGTGCCAATAATACCTGCCGGCCCAGTAACCATCGACGCGCATTACATGTGCGATAATCGCGTAAAAATCGTTTACCGATTTTTACCGATATCAGGTAGCTATATTACAAAGTGATGCTTGAAAATTTTGCAAAAGGGTGTGGCTTGAACAATGTCATGTGCTAAACTGTAAATCCCACGATGTGCGATTGCTCGAAGGTCGCAAGTTTTATGTCCACGTATATAAGTAAGCAAGAAAGAGCAAAGATCGTCAGAAGAGTGGGAGAAAGAGGAGGACAGGCGCACGTTTGCTAAGCAAGGATTTTTGGCCAACAGCCAAAATTGTCGGTGCTTCACGGACGAACAGTACCGTGTAAATGGATGCGCCTACACGCCATATTATACACACGTTGTTCATATTCACTTGTTATTTCCTCTCTTTCCTTTGCTGTTAATTTACACGGACATCATCTGACGTTTCAACCGATGCTGTGTTGTAAAATTCATGCCGAGATCTGTCTTTTGTGTCACCTATTCGTTTAAATAATTTCATAGTTTTACAACTTTTGTGGTTCATGTACTATAAATTGTAATTCAAAGAGTAAAAAGCAATTATACCTAATCACTCAATTGAAAATGGTAGACTGAGACAGCGCCAAAATTTAATTGTGATGAAAAATATCTGCGATGAATCAGCAAAAAACTATATCTACTCGGATTCAACAGAAACATGCACTAATAGCAGAGGGTTTATTGGTATTGTGGTCTATTAAATTCCTTTATTTTCTGCATCAAAGCGCGCAGTGGGTAACCACGCGTATGAATAATTCATGCACAAAATCAGCAACTACTTGTCGAGCTTATCGTTACCTTTTTTTTCTAAATCCAGCAATAGTATTAGTAGGTAACACGAGGGTGTCTTTTTCTAAAAAATAAAAATAATACACCGGTACTACTGTACCAGAACATATTGTTTTCTGTATAGCAAGTTTATTACAACTATTACGTCATGCTAAGAAAAATCGACAGTATCGTCAACCTCAATGATGTCGAAAAAGTAATGGTAATACCGATTTTTGCGCTCGATCCCCCCCTTTCGTGCAAGTAAAAACAAACGCAAAAGAGAGCCAGTGTAGTTGTGGAGAGTAGCTTTCGCATGGTCAAAGCGACTGGTCAGAAAAAGAGAGAGGTGAATAATCCATACGCCGCGCGCATGCAAGGCAGTATAGGCAACGAGACAGTATACGTGTAAAATTGCGGGGGGCGACTCATTATGTCGGAGGGGCGTAGGGGAGGACATTTCGCGAAACTACAGCACACGACAGCTGTTACAATGTATACTTGTATATCATGTATGGCTGTATATATAAATATATATATATAACTACTCACTGCTGTGGTGCCGTCACGTTTATATCTAGGTATACCTATCCGGTATGTATACATATATATATATATCTAGTGCGTATAGTATACAAATATACATACGAGACGAATGCAGAAACTGAATCATCGACCAAAACTTTTTTTTATCATTTTATCCGTTACTTTATACCGATCGCGTGCGCATGTGTACCTGTATACCAGCGAATATCTTTAGATGCTTCCCGAAGACTCCAAAACGAGTTTCTATTTTTCTCTTTTGAAGCGCGAAGCGAAGAGGGAATTTTGCGAGAAAAAAAAAAAAAAAAAAAAAAAAAAAAAAAAAAAAATAACGAATTTCAGCTCGAATTCTTTTGTTTGCGGTAAAACCGACTGGTTCTCCGCTAAAAATATCGGCGCTCGGGCACGCGGAATTATTTCTCGGACGTTCGCCCGAGTAATCAGGTTCTTCTACG